ACTCCTCCACCTTTTGTACTCCCCCTTTATTTCATGCATCTTTTTTTTACTGTATCTAAACCAAAGAACAAAACTGTAATACATTGCAGCAGTCCTCAGATGTGCTGGCTGCATTAGTTTTCTATTGCCAGACTCATGAACTGTACTGTATCTATGGAGGAGTAGTATTGTATCCCTAGGGCAGGAAAAGTTAGGAGTACAGAACATCTTTTACATTTTTTAGTCGGGTAAATATGATATTGCTTATGACTATTTTCTATTCTCAAATCCAGCCAACTGTAGGTTCTTTTCATGTCTAACTTTATTTGCTTTGCTGAAAATTTTGTTTACAGAGCTCAATAGCGTATGCTCAAATTTACTTGTACAATTCAATAAGTCAGAAAATTGACTCATCGTCCTCCCCCTTCCTTCGTGTTCTGTTTAGATTGGGTCATACAGATATTTAGTTAGGCTGATGGCTCAGGGCCGATTCTTCCGCTAATGACAAAACACCAGCGACAAGATTCTAAAAAGGCTTCCTATGCATAACTATTGAATCGCTCCCTCTGTCTCTGTTGCTGGCCCAAACTCTGATGAATCTTGATCACTAGCTTTGGGAGGAACATTGCATTGCCTACAGAGGGAACAATTTCTTATAGACAATCAGGCATCTTTTTAACAATCCTCCTGCTGCTGATTTCAACATATTGCTAGCACTAGAGTCACCTCTCTGTCATCAATCTATGTCTAGGTTCACACATATGTGATTCAAAATTACTCAGTTATGTACTATGATTCAGGGAGCATCTGCGGTATGAATCACATGCGATTCTTCTTGAATAGCAATGCATTTTTGTTTAGCAGTGTTTTCTGGTTCATTTTCTCTCTCTTCAATACAATACAAACCAAATTGGAATCTGATTAGATTTGATTAGATCCTTTTAAACCTTATACTCTGCAAATTTGGATCACATAGCTACAAACTCACACACAACCCTTATTCAAAAACGCACTGTGGATGGAACTCCTATATGTGAATGCCTTTCATATGAACACATTCTATTTCTATGGTCATGTGAATCCACCAGCTAGAAACACATCCAAAAATGGACATGTGTGAACCAAGGCTTAGAGAGAAACAGCGTGAAGGTGTAGCCTCAGGAAATTTCCTAAAGCTGGAGCAGACAGAATCTGGAACAACTGTGTATAGTAACTAGTCAGCTTCTAACTTCAGCTTGTTCAGTTGAGCTTTGAAAATGAAACCTATAAGCTGATAGTCTGCAATGATCCTGTCTGCTTCAGTTTTATTAAATTCTCCCTCAATGTTCTTGCTGTGATCTCTTTTCGATATACATGTCATGGGTGCATCCTGAATTAAATGTTTATCTGTAAAGTAAATACAGCGGGAAAATAATTATTTGATCCCCTGCAGATTTTGTAAATTTGCCCACTTACAAAGAAATGAAGGGTCTATAATTTTGATCATAGGTATTTGAAATCATAGAGACAGAATATCAACCAAAATTCCAGTAAAAACACATGATACAAATGGTATAAATTGAGTTGCTGTTCAGTGAGTAAAATAATTATTTTATCCCAAGCAAAACATTACTTAGCACTTGGTGGAGAAGCCATTGTTGGCAAGCATAGCGGTAAGACGTTTCTTGTAGTTGGTTACAAGGTTTGCACACATCTCAGGAGGGATTTTGGTCCACTCATCTTTACATATCTTTTCTAAATCCTTAAGGTTTCTTGGCTGTTGCTTGGCAACTGGAAGTGTCAGCTTCCTCCATAAATTTTCTGTATGATTAAGGTCTGAAGACTGACTAGGCCAATCCATGACCTTAATGTGCTTCTTTTTGAGCCACTCCTTTGTTGCCTTGGCAGTATGTTTTGGGTCATTATTATGCTGGAAGACCCATCCACGACCCATTTTCTGTGTTCTGGCTGAGGGAAGAACTTTCTCATCCAAGATTTTGCAATACATGGCCCCGTCCATTGGCCCCTCAATGTGGCAAAATGAACCTGTACCTTTAGCAAAGAAACAGCCCCAAAGCTTAATGTTTCCACCTCTGTGCATGACTGCAGGGATGGTGTTTTTAGGGTCATATTCAGCATTTTTCTTCCTCCAAACATGGTAAGTCAAGTTAATGCCAAAGAGCTTAATTTTGGTCTCATCTGAGAACAACACTTTCTCACAGTCCTTCTCTGAATCATTGATGTTCATTGGCAAACTTCAGATGGGCCTGTACATATGCCTTCTTGAGGAGGGGGACCTTGTGGGCGCTGCAGGATTTCAATCTATGGCGGTGTATTGTGTTACCAATGGTTTGTTTGGTGACACAATACACAATACACAATACTCTTACTTTTCTCATGATCATCCTTACCTCATGAGGTGAAATCTTGCTTGGAGCTCCATACTGAGAGCGATGGATGGTTATTTTGTATTTCCTCCATTTGCGAATAATCGCTCCATCAGTTGTCTCCTTTTTGCTGATGGTCTTGTAGCCCATTCCAGCCTTGTGCAGGTCTACAATCTTGTGCTTGATGTCCCTTGACAGCTTTTTGGTCTTGCCCTTGGTGGTAAAGTTTGAATGGAATAAAGTGATGCTGCGGACAGGTGTCTTTTATACACATATCGAGTTGTCGTTAGGAGCACTTTCCTAAATTTACAGGACTAATCTGTGTACCATATGAGCACATAGCCTGTCAGGAATGGACTTGCCAATAATGGTGGGACTCACCTGCCTTGTGGGCTGCAGTACCAGGGCTGGCCAGCGGGTGCTCTCAGCAATCAGAGACTCAAGCCTGCAGTCAGCCAAACACCTGTAGCTGATTACGGAGGTGTATTTAAGGGATGGCCAGACCTGCAGTCTGTGCCTTGGTGTGTGTTTTTTCCATGGGCCCCTATATCTTGTTACCTGCATTCCTGTTCCTGTTCCTGCCTGCCTGACTGACTGGTTGCCGACCCTGCCTGATCCTGACCTCTGCTGACTTCTCCTGTTTGATCCCTGTTGTGACCCGACCATTCTCTGCCTGACCCCCTGTACCTACCTGCCCGTTAGTTGCTGTACCCGGCTCGTGACCTGACTACTCTCTGCCTGCTCTTCCTGTTCCTACCTGCCCGATTGTTATTGACCAGCCTGCCTGACTACGCTTGCATTGTATGTATTGTTATCTGTGGGTGGTTTGGTTTGGTTCGTTTGCACTGTGTTTATGTTTTAGTATTGCACTGCGTTCTGTATTGTTAGTATTAATAAATTATATTGTTTATAACATATCTGAAGCCTGCGTTTCCCTGCGTCAGTTCACATACCTCTGGTCATACCCGGAGCCCTGACATAGCCCGTCTATGGGAGCCAGAATTATTGTTGGTTGGTAGGGAATCAAATACTTATTTTGCTCACTGCACTGCAACTCAATTTATAACATTTGTATCATGTGTTTTTTTTTTTGGATTTTTGTTGATATTTTGTCTCTATCATTTAAAATACACCTATGATAAAAATTATAGAGCCTTAATTTCTTTGTAAGTGGGCAAAGTTAGAAAATCTGTAGGGGATCAAATCATTATTTTCTCAACTGTATTTTATATATTAAAGGAAAAAAAAACACAAAATGGACTAATTATGTTAAATTAAAATAAAAACACCATTATAGTATTGTTTAATTTTAGAAACACGTATTTTGAGTTAGTATTTCATTGCTTGAATTAAAGTAGTATTTGATAGACGTTTAAATGTTTTACATGCTTGAATTGTCACATTTTTGATACTGCATTAAATATAGATTTGTAGCTGTTACTAGTGGGCCACATTCACCTGGATTTGTTCTGTAATGTTGATGACGTGAAGACGTGTTGCCACTAATCCAAGCCACTTCTTCAGTTCTGAATTGAAGAAACGGCTTGGATAAGCTACAAAAATGTCTTCAATATTACAGATCAAATCCAGTTTAACATGACTAACTACTACTAGATAGACCATGACCTGGATCAATGGGAGCATTTGCAGACATAGATTTGTAGATTAACCTAGCCTACTACAGGGATCTCAGTGGTTTAAAGCCATGATTCCTAGTTAAAAACATTTTTGTGCATGTGTCAGTGATACGAATTCCCTTCACTTTCTGTCTTGGAAACAAAGAGAAAAGTCTCTCCAAGGGTGAGTCCTTATGGACATCTGCAAAAATTGAATGTAGTGTTACCCCTGCAGGAGCTGCTTGATAATTTCGGTTCTTCGTTCAGTGCATTGACTCCAGGAACACCTTCAGCCTCTTTGACATACCTGGTTGAATGAGAGTTATTGATAGCACTTACAAGAACTTGAGTATAGACACCTTTAACCACTAGCCTACAGGGCACTTATACCCCCTTCCTGCCCAGGCCAATTTCCAGCTTTCAGCGCTGTCCCACTTTTAATGACAATTGCGCGGTCATGCAACACTGTACCCATATGAAATTTTTATCATTTTTTTGAGCCAGATAGAGCTTTCTTTTGGTGGTATTTAATCACCTCTGGGATTTTTATTTTTTCATAAACAAACCAAAAACCACTGAAAAGTTTGAAAAAAATGTTTTTTCTTAGTTTTTGTTATACAATTTTGTAAATAAGTGATTTTTCTCCTTCACTGATGTGCGCTAATGAGGCTGCAGTGATAGGCACTGATAGGCTGCACTGATGGACACTGATAGGTGGCACTGATGGGCACTGATGAGGGAGGCACTGGTAGGTTGCACTGATGGGCATTGACAGGCATCACTGATGGGCACTGAAAGGCAGCACTGATACATGACACTGACACATGACACTGATATATGGCACTGATAGGCGGCACTGACTGGCACTGATAGGCGGCACTGACTGGCACTGATAGGCGGCACTGACAGGCACTGATAGGCGGCACTGACAGGCACTGTTAGGCGACACTGACTGGCACTGTTAGGCGGCACTGACTGGTACTGATAGGCAGCACTGACTGGCACTGTTAGGCGGCACTGACTGGCACTGTTAGGCGGCACTGACTGGCACTGATAGGCGGCACTGACTGGCACCGATAGGTGGCACTGATTGGCAGCACTGTTTGGTGGCACTGATTGGCATTGATAGGTGGCACTGACTGGCACTGATGGGTGACATTGAAAGGCAGCTCAGATGGGCACTGATATGTGGCATTGATGTGCACTGGTATGCACTGATATGTGGCATTGATGTGGCACTGATGGGCACTGGCACGTGGCACTGATGAGCACTGACAGGTGGCACTTCTGGGACACACTGATCATCAGGACACGCTGATCATCAGTGCCCTGATGATCAGTGTACATGTCCCCTCCGCGGAAAGCCGATTAGCGGCTCTCCTCTCCTCTTGAGCTGTCAGCGTGACAGCTCGAGAGGAGAGAAATGCCGATAACCGGCATTTCCGTGTTTACATGTGATCAGCTGTGATTGGATCACATGACCGAGCCGACATCTTCGGCTCTTTCTGTGATCCGCTGTGTCCAAGGGACACAGCGCACCGGCGATCGCTGCGCGCTCCCTGAGCTGCACATGCGCAGTGAGAATGGTAGGACGTCATATGACGTCCTATCAGAACGAGAGAACCACCTTGCGCCTGTCATTGTGCTATAGGACGGGGGGAAGGTAGTTAACTAGCACCAGGAATAGATACAAGGCTGTTTAGTAGTAAACAAACGTAGTGTATTAATACTGGCTAGGATAAATTGTGGTTGGAGCATAAATGAACACACAGAATGTAGGTTCAAACACCGTCCTCTACACAGTATAATCACTTTGCCAAGGTAACCTAGAATAGAATTATGTGTCACTAGACTGGGATTAACACAAGAATCAGCAAAGTCAGCAATAAGGAGTGCATATAAGCATTAACTGCAATGTGAATTCTAATACTATAACTAGTCTAGACTGCACGCTATGAGAAAGGCTAGGATATGGTGCAATGTTCCCTGAGAGGTACCTCTTAGCATAAGCAATAGGTGAAGGTCTCTTTGTAGTAGCCGCAAAAGGACAATCTTTAGTCCTATCTCTTCAACCAACTAGTGTTGGGGCCCAGTTGTATCATTGGTGTACATAATAGTCTCAATAGCCAATAAGGCTACTAGATGGCTGCATGGCCAATTCCTAAAGGGCTTAGTCTCTAGCAGCAGATAGTAAATCCCCACAACAGCAGCTCATCAGTCCCAGTGATGTTACAGCTCATCATCCAATCACACACATCAGCTGATGAGGCAGAGCCATGTCAAGCATGGGAAGGATCTCAACAATAATGAGAGCTGGCTCTGCCTTTCAGCATTCAGCTGATATTCAGGGTCAGTCATTCCTGCCCTTCCATAGTCTGCAGCTCCAGTGAATGGTGGAGGAGCAGACCGGGGTTTTGGGACGGACAGTGCCTTGTTCCCTGCAGACCAAGAGCTGACTGATGGTGGTCATGAGATATCTAAGTGCAGTAGGTTTTACCGCTTTACAGCTATATTCATCACACTATACAATCTACACAAAGCCTATCTTTCTATACTTGGTGTCTGAAAAATCTTTAATGAACTCCTCACACTGTATCATCTTTAGAACACTGCTCTCTACATCCAGTAGGCCCAGAGCACTTAGCCTTTTATGGGTTCTCAGATAATTCTGTAGCAGTGCCAATTTGCTGAATGATCTCTCTGCTGAACAACTAGTGACCATCATGCTTAAATATATTCTAAGAGATACATTAACACTTGGAAATGTATCAGCAAGTTCTTCATTATAGAGTAAAACTGCCTGTCGAGATGGAGTGAGGCATGACCTGAGCCTGGCAAAGGCTGAAAACCGTAGTTTTGTATGACTCAAATCGCACCGCATCCACACCAAAAAGGTGCAGGACCCTTTTTTTGGTACGCAATAGAATCGGATCGCATAGGTATTCACACCCATGCGATCCAATCTGGACATCGCACCGCGTTTTGCGAACCGATTTCCGGGTGTTGTTAACTTAACATGCACACCCACAGTGGTTCGCATGAATGGGGTGCGATTGTGAAGCGGTGTGGAATTTGCACAGAAAACGCTGCAAATTCTGCAACGCATCAGTGTGAACCCAGGCTAAAAGTCCCGTACACATGATGAGAATATTGGACGAATGATCATCCTTTTTTTTTTCTGTATACTAGTCTCCATATCGAAAATGAAGAGGTTCCTAAAGTCCCAAAAATTCTTGTACGACAGAATAAAAATGTGAAAATGATATATTGTATTGCAGGGGTTAAAATTTTGAAGTCCAGACCTACTAGCCGGTCACAAAACTTACTCTCGACCAGTTGCCCCACCCAACCTTGCCCAGGTCTGCCCCCAACCCCACCCTCGGCCCGACCCCAACCACGCCCCCTTAAAGCTTATGAAATTACATTTTTCTTTAGAATAAATAGTCCAAAATATAAAACCGTACACAGTAATGTATATCCCCCTCCCCTGTACTCCATTATAGTGATATGACATGTATACAGTGATGTATATCCCAGCTCCCCTGTACTCCATTATAGTGATATGACATGTATACGGTAATGTATATCCCAGCTCCCCTGTACTCCATTATAGTGATATGACATGTATACAGTAATGTATATTCCAGCTCCCCTGTACTCCATTATAGTGATATGACATGTATACAGTAATCATTACTGTATACATGTCATCACTATAATGGAGTACAGGGGAGCTGGGATATACATTACTGTATACATGTCATATCACTATAATGGAGTACAGGGGAGCTGGGATTCACATTACTGAGTAATGTATATCCCAGCTCCCCTGTACTGCATTATAGTGATAGGACATGTTGTATACAGTACTTACTGTCCCCCCCGAGTCCCCTGTGGCGGTGGAGAGGGTGTCTCCTCTCAGCGGAGGAGAGCGGAGATCTCCTGCACCTGTCCTCTCGGCGGTGGTGCCGCAGAAGTCGGAAACCGGAAGTTGTAAACAGGAACTCGGCTTCACAATGAGGCTTGTAGTGCAGGTACAGAAGAAGCTCCATGCTTCATCTGTGCTCACCGCTCAGCTGCTCGCCACAGAGGAATTTCTCCTCGCATTTGGCGAGCGGCTTTTTCAAGCCCTGTTGTATTGTATTTGTATTGTATTTTCAGATGAAAACTGTACTGATTAAATGAAAATCATACAATCTGGTATTGTATGAAAACATTTTTCCTGCTTGTTCCTTTGAATAATTTTGGACGAAAGCTGTGTACTAACAATCAGATTATCATACAATTGCTTTGAAAGCGGTATTTTTCATACAATTTTCTGATTGTGTGTACTAGGCTTTAGGCTATAAAGGGTTAAAATTTTTCAGTAGATCAACAGGGATTATTATACAAAGAGCCAAGTATATGTAAGAAACTATATCTCCCAACAATACACTTTAATCTTTGAATCTTGTCTTCTGATAAGCTCTTGACACCTCTGCATATTTCAGTGTGATGTTACTGAGAGCTCATTTATAAAAATGCAATTGTAATTTATGCTTAGCGGCTCTTACAGGAAATCTCCAGCTTCACAAAAAAACCCGATATAACAAATATAATTTCTACACAAGCAATTTTGTAATTTAATGTTATTAAAAAATACCTTTCCTTCTCTATCTGGAGATGCTGTAATTTTCTAAAATTGTCCAAAATTTCACTTGCTCAATCACTTGCTTGGCATTTTGCAACCTGGAGGTGTTATGTACACTGTTGGTGTGCAGAATTTCCCATCTCCCACAATTTGAGTTTCAGTTGTAGTGAGATGCTTTCTGGCCTAATCTACATGGAAGTGGAGACAATAGCATATATACAGAGAATTTACAATTAAAGTAGAACTATAGGCAACACTTTTTTTTTCATTTTGGATAGAGTAAGCGAAGGTTATGACCCCTGTCAGATTATTTTTTGCCATCTCCGTCCCATTGGGGAGATTTACCTTTACTTCCTGTACCAAAGCCGAAACAGGAAGTGCAAGGAAATCCCTGCAAATTAAGGGAATCCCTTGGGGACACCCAGGCCACTGGAACTAGTGTCCCCATTGGCAGATTTCCCCTGTATTACTTTTCTGGGGACAACCCAAAATATGGGATATTCTTTTACCTTCATTTTCAATGATAATGGTAAACAGGACATATAGAGAGGATGAATCTCCCTACAGAGGCACAGACAGCAATACAACCTGACAGGCTTTCTAATCTCTCTCCACTCTATACAAAAGAAAAAAAAAGGTATGGCCTTTAGTTGTACTTTAAGTGTAGTTTGCTATGGAATGTACAGTAGGCGAAAGCTGTGGCATATCTAAAAATGTGATTTTCAAGTTTTCAAGTTGAACTGATACTAACGTTTTTAAATAGTCATACCTTGTAGGAATAAAATTGTTTAAAATGCAAATGACTAGCATTTAGGGCTGGTTTTACACTGGAATTGCACAGGAACACATGCAGTGATCCCATGTGGTTTCTGCGCATTTCTGCATGGTGCTATTTTGCAGCTCATTCATTTGAATGTGCTGCAAATCACACCAAAACCTGGAAAAAGTAGTGTGTGCACTACTATTAAAAGCCTGTCACACCAAACTGCATGGTACAGCAGTCCCATGCGATTCACTCACCTGTGCAATAAGTGCATCTGTGAAATTTCCTTGCTACTAAATATTCCACGGTCAGTTGTTAGTGGTATTATAACAAAGTGGAAGCGACTGACAACAATAGCAACACAGCCACGAAAAATGACAGAGCGGAGTCCGAGCAAGCTGAAGCGCACAGTGCGCAGAAGTCACCAACTGTCTGCAGAGTCAAACGCTAAAGACCTCCAAACTTGGTGTGTCCTTTAGATTAGCACAACAACAGATTGCTCCATGTATGATGTGAAGAGCAAAGATTTTCACTAAGAAGCAATAAAATAAATGGTGTTTCATCTTCTACTTTGGATTATTGTACAAGTGGTATAGGGAAACTCGCTGGATGTATTAACATGGAGTAGAAGAGAAAACAAAACACATGGCTCTCTACTCCTTGAGATATACTGTATATACTGCAGTACAGAAAAGGCGTTAGCTATGCTGGGAAATGCTGGGAAAATAATATATGCAAGTACAAAGCATCAGGCAAGCTCCAATGGCCATTATGAAGACATAGTGTAAGGAAAGGATACTGCACAACCAAATAGCAAATCTATACAATAGATTTTCTACAGCAGTGCAAACAAAAGTGTATACTGTAGGTACATTGGTAAGCACAATGAATAACAGTTTCATGCATTACCTGCCATTTATCAGAGATATATATATATATATATATATATATATATATATATACTGTATATACACAGTATGTATATGGTGCTAGGATTTAGGTAAGCCCCATTGCACGTTCTTACCTATTGTTATTTGTACTGAACAGTGTTAGAGGTACAACTCTTGGTGGGTCATCTCTTGCCAGCTGCAGCCACCGGGTGCATGCTCAGCTCACAGCTGCACAATGTAAATATCACCTTCAAATGGATA